CTGCCCCGGCCGCCCCGGCTGCCCCGGCCGCCCCGAACTCCTCGGCTGACGCCGCCGCCTCGGGACTGCGGACCAGGTTTCCTCACAGGCTCCGCCATGGCACAACCTCTGAGGCCGCACACACCCGCCTCTACTCGCCTTGCCCGGCCCTCTCCAGCGACTGCCGCCTTTTATTGGACGAGTAGCCTGCTAGTCAGCATCTCTTCCCGCCCACACGCTCTGGATCCGCCTTCCCACCTTATCATTGGTCAGCGTACCCGCCCATCACGCATATACCTCAGAAAGGAAGGCGCCAAAGATTCCAATCGCCTCAGAGCAATTTGTCGCGCGGCCGTGGATTCGGGGAGGCTCACCCATTGGCCAGACTTCCCCTCCTCTGACTGGCCTCTCAGGAACCCACCCATTAAAGAGACCCGTCTTCCCGGGTGGTGGAGCAGCGGAGCATGCTGGGGATTGTAGTCCTTAAACGCTACGGCTCTGGAAAGCAGGCTGGGAATTCTTTTATAAAGTGCGGAATGAGGCAGAGACTTCAAAAGTGTCTCCGGTGTTGTCCGCCTCGCCGCATGGTGGGCATGAGTAATTCCATTCAAACGCCTCACACAAGCTTGCACATGATTATCCGTCCTCACCCCAGACACCTACGAACCCTAGGAACATATTCCAAGTCAACACAACGAACACCCCAAGGACGTGCACCCACAAGGACACCTCCCCATAACACGCTTAAAGACGTTTTTTTTTGCGGGGGGAGGTAGACAGGATTTCGCTCTGCCACCCAGGTTGGACTGTAGTGGCCCGATCATAGCTCACTGCAGCCTGGAACTCCTGGGATTTGCATTTTACCCCTTTAAGATGCCTGTGATTCGGTGGCTCATGCCTGTAGTCCTAGCACTCTGGAAGACTGAGGCAGAGGGATTGCCTGAGCTCACAGGTTCGAGACCAGCCTGAGCCAGAGCCAGAATGAGACCTCATTTCTAAAAAAAATAGCCAGGCGTTTGCAGCAGGCACCCTGTAGTCTAGGGCACTAGGGAGGCTGAGGCAAAAGAATCGATTAAACCCAAGAGTTTGAGGTTGCTGTTAGGTGTGACGCCATGGCACTCTACCCAGGGCAAATGAGACTCTGTCTCAATAAATAAATAAATAAACAAACAAACAAACTAGGGCGGCACTTGGCCCCAGCCAAACTGCAACAACAACAACAAAAATAGCCAGGTGTTGCAGTGGATACCTGTAGTCCCAGCTGCTCGGGAGGCTGAGGCAAGAGAATCGCCTAAGCCCAGGAGTTGGAGGTGGTTGTGAGCTGTGTGAGACTGCCACGGCACTCTACCACGGGCGATAAAGTGAGACTCTGTCTCTACAAAAAAAAAAAAAACGAAAGAAAGAGGGAGGAAGGGGGAAGGAAGGAAAGAAAGGAAAGGGAGGGAGGAAAGGAGGAATGAAGGAAGAGAAGGAAGGGAAGGAAAGGAAGTGAAGGAAGGAAAAGGCCCTCGAACTCCTGGGCTAAAGTGATCCTCCAACTTCGGCCTCCAAAAGTGATGGGATTGCCATCATGAGCCACCATAGCCTGGCCAGAGATTTTGTTTGTCTCCCTGGATAGAGTACTATGGCATCACAGCTCACAGCAACCTCCAACTCTTGGGCTCAAGCAAGTCTCCTGCCTCAGCCTCCCAAGTAGCTGGGACCACAGGCGCCAGCCACAACGCCCGGCTATTTTTTGGTTGTAGCCGTCATTGTTGTTTGGCAGGCCTGGGCTGGATTTGAACCTGCCACCTTAGGTGTATGTGGCTGGCGCCTTTAGCCACTTGAGCCACAGGCGCTGACCCTAGTTTTTCTATTTTTTAATAGAGACAGGGTCTTGCTGTTACTCAAGCAGTTCTCAAACTCCTGAGCTCAAGCAATCCACCCACCTGGGCCTCCCAGAGTCCTAGGATAGACCACTGTGCCTGGCCGAGATTTTTTTTTTCTTGCAGTTTTTGGCTGGGGCTTGGTTGGAACCAACCACCCTCCAGCATATGGGGCCAGCGCCCTACTCCTTGAGCCACAGGAGCTGCCTGAGATTTTGTTTTTTAATTATATTTCCCCAACACACCCACCAACAACTTCCACAAATAGTATCATGGACCTCAGAGACTACTTACCCTCCCCATGTCTATAATATTTGCAACTCTTGCATGATATACATCCCAGCACAACCCAACACCTCTTCAATACTTCACACCTTCCACTTTGCCCCCAACTTCATGACCCTCTGACACTCACACATACATCCTATGCCACACTTCACACAGGACACCCCCACAACACATGCTTCTCACTAACCCACGATGCTCACAGAACTAACAATGCACATGTCCGTTCTGAACAGCATCTTGACTACCCTGCACACCTCCCTTCCCCTACACCTCCACCACCATGGCCAAATGATGTCCCTCTGCGCTTACACCTCAGATCCACGTGTAAACTCAGCCCGGGTCACTCGCACAGGCACACAACTACCAGAAGGTGGCGCTATTTCACAGGGAACGGTAGCTCTGGGACTCCAACAGGGACTTCCCAGCCCCTCCCCTCAGCCAATCTGAGTCAGGCTGGAGGATAGAGAATGCACCAAAGGCTCTGGGCCCATCAGGGAGGCCATTGCAAACTAGAGATACTGGAATTCTGAGAGCCCAAAACTTCACTCAAGTCTCCTTTACCCCAAGCCTTGCTCAAGATCTGGAAGTTGGCTCGGCGCCTATAGCTCAACCGGCTAAGGCGCCAGCCACGTACACCTAAGGTGGCAGGTTCGAATCCCCAGCCTGGACCCGCCAAACAAC